GGTGGTACTCGGCGTGTTATTCTGTACGGCTGAATTTCAAGGGTGGAATGACATGGGGCAGCCTGTGCAAAGGGAACTGCAAATCCTCCCTTATCCTCATCAAACCAGCTCCGTATTGTTAGTGCTTCTTCCCCCTCCTGTCCACACTGGACACTCTGTGAAGGCTCTGCATGGCCAAAGAGCTTGAGCCTTTCTGGAGCAGAGAGGGGAGCTCAAGGGTAGTAGGGTTTTAGTGAAATGCCACTTTCCATTTCCCCTCTCTGAGTGCAGGCTCCCCCCACTCAGCTCTTTTCCCCTGTGCTTGCCAATGATTCCTTGTTATGATGTTCATAATCAAGAATAAAAAAAAGCACTTGTGAAATTTGTGGATTCCACATGTACCTCCCCTGTGGGAGGAAGACACTCAGCCCTGGAGTGACTTTTCACCAGTTTCTTAGCTGCCTCCAGAACTCACAGCAAGCAAAAAAGCTACATGCCACAAATTTCCATATACTCTGTGCCTCTCTGCAGTGTCTGGTAAAGCATCCCAATAAATTTGCTTCCTTGAGCTCATTCTCCATTAATGAATGTCTGTTCTGTCTCTCTGATTGTGCTCCCACTGAGACCCAAGAAATCCCATGTCAGGTGCTAGGACTGGAGTCTTGGGGCTTGTGGAGGGAAAAAGCCTTGAGTGGTTCTCACAGGAATGGATGTAAGAAAATTAAATCTAGTTACACTGAGATAAAAGACCTGTGATCTGCACAGGAGTGTTCAGAAGGGACCTGTCATGTGGGAGAACTCTTCCCATATCATCACCACGTTTACAGCCCAGGGTCAAAAGCTGTGGCAATGTCCTGGTGCCAAGGTCCCACTCCTGCTGGGAGGCTGCGTCTGTCAGGATTTGTTCCTCGCTACCTGTCTGTCTGCACAGTCATGCTTTGATCGTGCAGAAACGTGATTTCAAAGTCATCAGTAGATCTGTCTGCTGTGACCGAGAAGCAGTGAACTTAAATGGAAGCAAAAGATAAGTCAGTTAGGTGTTGGGAAGCACTTGAATTAGGAGACACTAATGAGGGAAGAGCTCATTACAGGAATAAGCTCACCATACCCAAGTTTCTGAGACCAATTTAGATGAACCTTTGCCAGGAAAATTGCAGACAGAGCTGATGCTGTGAGGCTGCAGGACAAGGCCACTACAGCTCCTCCATCCCACAGCACTCTGGCACTGCCAGGACAGACTGTTTGAGAAGCACTTTCACCCTCACAAACCATTTCTGGCTTTGTCTTGGGGCAGCACAGCACCAGCAGTGAGTTCCACTTCCAGGACCAACAGCTAAGGGAAAACCCAGCCCTTGCCTGCCAGCTGCAGAGCCCAGGGCCCACTGGGAGCCATCCAGAAAGGTCTGAGAAATTAGAAAATACTGAAAGAAGAGAGCAGTGGAGGATCTCCGAGCCAGAAAGTACCTTACACTGCTCCAGAGAACTGCCCTCAGCACTGCAGAGCATGGGGGGTACCTGCACCTAGGGATGTCTGAGGAAAAAGAGAGCTCAGGCTACTTCTACTGAAAGCAGCTCTCAGGTGAAGCAGGCTGCACTCGCTCTCCTGAGAGCCTCCAGCACCAAGCACTGAGCCCCCCCAAACCACAGCACAGAGGACTGGTGGGACCTCAGAGTACAGCCCATGCCAGAATCTCCTGCTCTGGCTGGAGTCCCCACTTGGCCTTGGAAGGTGTCCCTTCAGGGATTCTGCAGTGTCAGATGGCCCCCTCCAGAGATGGGAGCATCTCCAGCCTTGGTGGTGAATTTGGCAACCCAAATTCAATGAGACATAGCCCTCTGCAGCCTGATCTGATTTTGGGATCAACTCTGCCATGCAGAGGTAGGACTAGAAATCCCAGAAGTGCCTCTCCCAACACTAGTTACCCTCTAAGACAGAGAGGATCATTCACCCTGAGCAAAGGCCATGCCTGCCTCGCAATGTGCACCACAGCACAGGACGGGGGGAGCACAAGGCAGCTCCATGATGGACTTGACACTGGCTGGAAGAGAGGCTGTCCTGCACCAGGGGCACGAGATGGTAGCACCAGGTGGAGGATGGCTGTCATGAAGGTGCCCCCACCCCACCCCTGGTGCCCTCAGAGGTGGATTTGGCTTCCAAAGTCAGCAGATTCGATGACATCAGGTGGCACTGGGCAGACTGTGAAATGACACTGCTGCTGGGGGTTTCCAAGCAACAGGCAAAATTGGAGTTGCATTTGCACTGCCGGACTAAGGAACAAATGATCCTCATCCCAGCAGTGCTGTCTTCTGCTAGGGCTCTCCAAAGGCAGTGGAGAGACACGGGCCAGGAGATGCAGGAGAACATCCTAAAATATCCTCACAGTACAACAGGGCTGGCACCCACCGGCCCAGGAGGATGGGCTCAGCGAGTGGATGTCTCTGCATTGCCGTCTTGTCCCTCCACCACAGCACATCCCAGTGTACAGACAGGTTCTCATCTCTCCTACAACAGCACCAGCTCCACACAGCCCCTTATTCCAAGCTACCCATCCAAATGCTTCCTAAATCCTGCTGGGCTCTTGACCACCCAACAGCAGTGACCTCCAGCCCCCAGCGGCTCCCTGGCAGCTTCCCTTCACTCAGCTCCAGCAGCCAGTGTTGGTCTGAGATGACACCAGAAGTCAAGCAGTGGACATCAAATGCTGTCTCCCACCAGATATTTGCTCAGTGGAAACGTCCTGGCCAGGACAGAGCAGTCCCCGCCCCAGCAGCAGTGCATGGCTCTCCCTGCAGCTCTGGTTTTTCACTAAGGTAAAACTTCCCCAGGAAACAATCCCCACCTCCCATGAGCTCCTGGTTTGCTACTTTTCCCCAGCTTCTCCACCACATCTTTACTTAAAGAGTAAGAACAGGGCAAAGATACAAGGCGAGTTTCCAGCACAGAGATGTCCTGAAGCGGAGCTGATAGTCCTCAGGCAGGTTTCTGCTCCCTGAATTTTTCTTTCAGGTCTCTGAATCCCTGCAAACATTTAGTGACCACAGCACCCCGCGGCGAGCAGTTCCCCACCACAAGCGGGGCAGCACTCCCACCTCTCCCTTCCCCAAGGGACGAAGGGGACCTGCACAGAGCCGGCAGTGCAGGGTGCCTCATTACTCTCTCCCTCCTCTCTCCTGAACCGACGGGTACAGCGGTGCCAGGATCTCCACAGGATGCACACGTGCAGTGCCGTGAAGCACAGGGTGAGATCAAGGCGGTGACAAGCGGGATGCACATAGTGTGGTGCAGTGCAGGATACATGCACGGAGGTGCAGGATGCACACAGCAGCGTGCAGCGCAGAGGGTGCACACAGCGGGGTGCAGTGCGGGATACACACAGTGCGGTGCAGGGTACGCACGGCGAGGTGGAGCGCAGGATGCACACAGCGGGGAGCAGGATGCACGCAGCGGGGTGCAGTGCCGGTTCCCCCCCCCCCCCCCCCCCCCCCCCCCCCCTCCAGACCTTTCCCACCGCCCTTCTCCAGGCGCTTCGTGGCACTCGAGAAATATCCAAATACCTCTCAGTGGCAGCTGGCCAGGTAAAAACTGCTAATTGGCCCCTACGTTGAATATGTCTG